TTTCTCTGTCCTGCCAACCAGCCCCCAAATAATAACATGAAGATTAATTATGGAAGCTTGGCCTTAGCTTAGGATTGTCCCACTAACTCTTATAACTTAAATTAACCCATTTAGCCAGATGTGGTCGTGCACGCCTTTAATTCTAGCACCTGGGAGGCAGAGGCAGAGGCAGGTGGATCTCTCTGAGTTCAAGGCCAGTGTGGTCTACAAAGCAAGTTCCAGGATAACCAGGGTTATTACACAGAGAAACCCTTATTTTGATCTATGTTCTGTTGCGTGGCTCATTACCTCATCTCTCCAGACTGCCCACACTACTTCCTCTGTGTCTGGCTAGCAGTTGCACCTTCTTCTTCCCAGAGTTCTCTCTCTGCCCAGAAGGCCCACCTAGAACTCCAGCGTACCTATTGGCCATTCAGCTTTTCATTACACCAATCACAGCAATACATACAATATACAAATATCCCACAACACTTCCGAGACTTTGCTCTACCACGTGTTTCATTCCTTTTGCTGTTGATGCTTTTGTTTTCCTTGTTTTGTTCTGAGACACATGTAGTCCATGCTAGCTGGGAACAACTGGTCCTCTTGCATCCTGCCTCCAGTACTGATCTTATGGATGTGTGTCATCACACGCAACTACTTTGTTCTTCTGTTTCTGCTTTGTTTTGTTTTGTCTTTTTGAAACAGGTACTGCCATCTGGTCTGGTATTCATGGCAATCCTTCTGCCTCAGCTTCTGAATTTCTGGGGGATTATAGACATGAGCCACCACATCTGGAATAGAATTCTATTCTTGTAAAAACTGAACTTTATGTTCCCTCTTTTTACTTTTGTTTTTACCTTTTTGGAGTGTGTGTGTATGTGGTAATACACGTGTGTGCATGGATGTGGAGGATATAAGTGGATTTTGGGCATTGTTCTTTGGGAGCTATTCACTTTGTTCTTTCTTTTTTTTTAATTTTATTTATTTATTTAATTATTTATTTATTTGTTATGTATATAATATTCTTTCTGTGTGTATGCCTGCAGGCCAGAAGAGGGCACCAGATCTCCTTACAGATGGTTGTGAGCCACCATGTGGTTGCTGGGAATTGAACTCAGGACCTTTGGAAGAGCAGGCAATGCTCTTAACCTCTGAGCCATCTCTCCAGCCCCCCACTTTGTTCTTTTAGATATATTTATTTTCTCTAATTTTTAGATATTCATTTATTTTGTTTTTGTGTATGGATGTTTTGCCTTTATGCACATATGTGTACCACATGCATGCCTGGTACCCACAGCAAACCAGAAGAAGGTATTGAAATCCCTGGAACTGGAGTTACAGGTGATTATGAGCTGCAGTGTGGGGGCTGGGAACCAAACCCCAGTCCTCTGCAAAAGCTGCTGAGCCATCTCTCCAGCCCCCATTAGTTATTATTTTTATTTCATGAGTGTGAGTGTTTAATTGCCTATTTGCCTGCTTGTGTGTATGTGCACCCAGTGGTGCCCGGTGCCTGCAGAAGCCAGAGAGGGTGTCAGATCGCCTGGAACTGGAGTTACAGGTGACTGTGAACTGCAGGGTGAGGGACTGGGAACCCAGCCTGGTCTTCAAAAGTAGTACGTACTTTTAACCACTGAGCCATCTCTTCAGCCCTTTACCTAGTCTTTGGAGACCAGATCTGGAACCTGAGATCAGCTACTTAGGCTAGACCAGCTGTCTCCACCCCCTTTCTAGGATTACAAGTACATAAGGGTCTGCCTCCTTAGACCCTTTTCAAGTTTTTGAAGCAGTCTTTTTCCTTTCTCCCTTTTTTCTCTACATAGCCCTGGCAGTCCTGAAACTCACTTTATAAACCAGGCTGACCTCAAACTCGGAGATCTACCTGCCTCTGCCTCCCGAGTGCTGGGATTAAAGGTTTGGACCACCACACCTGGCACGAGGCAGTCTTTTTTCATAGCCAAAGTTGGCCTGAAATTCCTGGCAAATCTTCTGCCTCAACTTCCTGAGTGCAAGAATTACAGTAATATACCTTCATACCCAGCAGGATTTTTAAAAGATTTTATTTTATTTATTTTATGTATACGAGTGCTCTATCTGCATGTATGCCTTTATGCCAGAAGAGGGCAGCAGATCCTACTAAGATAGTTGTGAGACACTGTGTGATTGCTGAGAATTAAACTCAGGACCTCTGGAAGAGCAGCTGGTGCTCTTAACTGTTGAGCTATCCCTCCAGCCCAGCCTATCCCCACCCCTCCCAAGCAGGATTTTTAACTTATTCTTGAGACTCATTTTCCTGATCTCTCTCCCCTCTCCTCTTTCTCCTCCTCTTCTTCTGTCTCTGTCTCTTTCTTTCATGGATATTTGCAAATACATTATCAAGAGGATGTGGCTAACACGTCTCTATCAGGGTGTGTATAAAATGTGTGTCACTGTTTGCTAGAGCTCATGGGACTTCTGTTAGTTGAATACTATAGTGAATGCTTAAATATACTTTCACCCTTCCTCTCCTTCCCAAGGCTAATTAAGTACTCTGAGCCTGTCCCCATATAAGGTCCTGTCTGGGGATGTTGTTGAGTATATTGCTCCCCCACCTTCTCTGACTCCCCTCTTTCCAAGCATATTTAGAGCTGGTGGTTTCCTCCAGCTGTCAGCTGGTGACTCTTGTGCTGCCAAAGATCTTGGCTCCCTGCCCCCCCCCCCCAGCAACAGTCAATGGGGAAGGTATTTAACTGGCTCAGAAGCATCGTTCTCGTACCCAATAAAATGTTAATCCTTTGAATCCGGTCCCTTGGCCCTTCCTCCCTGACAAGTTCTGACCAATGAGATACTGCTTTATCACTGTCAATCTAGTATTTTAGAGACAGAGGGAAAAAATACTGCATGGAGAGGAAAGAAGTGGAGCAAGAGCTCATGTAGAAAAATAAATACCCATTCAACAGCACTCTCCAGAAACCCTGGCTCTCCCACCACTACCACAAAAATAGTGATTGGACAAAAGCCCAGATTTCCTCTGCTCTAACTGCAGAAACGAGAATATGATGGCCAGGCAATTGAAGAAATTGGTCCGACTCATGTATCGCCTCCATCTCCTTCCCTGTTCAGATGAGTCCATCTCATGAAATGAGCTAGTCCGAACTCCTCTTGAACTTTAAGAAGTACACCCCTTGTCAATCACTGCCACCTCTTTTACAAGTCCCTTACCGCTTCCTCTTTACACCCTTACAAATAGAGATGTGAGCAATCTCGGTGCCTCCTTTTTTCTCTTTTCCCTTTTTCTACTCAGGACCTCTGGAAGCGTAGTCAGTGGTCTTACCCACTGAACCATCTCTCCAGCCCCTCAACTACTTCTACACCACATCAGAGTTCCAACCTACAGAGGCAATACTTAGACTGATATGGTCATCTTGGCCCATAAATGAAGAGGTATATTCCCTCATCTCCATTCCTAGCAAGAGCTGTTGGACTCAACTTCAGGGTAGGTATTATGTGTAGCTTATATCTGGCTGTGGGGCAGGGTGGAATATGGAAGACATTCCTGGAAGGGGTCAGGGGCTGACTGACACTGAGGACTGGACTACTTGTCTTTTTGAAGTACTAGCTCTTTCTGACCCCCTTTCACTATATAAATCTTCCTACTGTCTCAATCACAGTAGGAGTCTTTAAACTCAATACTTTCTAAATTTATTTATTTTTATTTCGTGGCTATCCGTGATTTGTCTGCATATATGCCTGTGCACCACACACACGCCTAGGACCCACAGAGATCATGTGGTGGGATATACTGATCACACTCTGACACTCCCAAGACTGCCCAATAAAGTTTAACTTGATTCAAGGGGTGGAGCCAGTGACTAGCTGACCAGAATTGACCATGGAGAAGCAAACAATTTGGATAGAGAAGAAGCACAGGAAGGAAAGGGCGGGGAACGGAGTTTGAGCTTCCTCTTGGTTGTGGGATGAGGATGCATCTCTTGCGGTGTCTCCTGCCAAAGCACAAGATCAGCTAGCTGCTATTCAGCCTCTCTGAGTTAGCAGGTTGTACCCCAGCCTTTGACTCCTGAGTCTTATTGATACATCTATGATAGAGATTTTATTAAGCCTACATATCGCAGCTGCGGTATAGCCGGGGCCTAGGGACTGGAAGCCTCGCCAGTCTGCCCCTGAGTGGCCAGCCGGTGGCTGACTGAGGGGCCGTGGGGCTGCAGATGATCATTAGAATACAGTAGATTCATGTGCAGTCACTGAGCTGGCAGAGGAACATCAATACCCGAAGAAAGTCCTGGATTCCATGAAATTGGAGTTGTAGATTGTTGTGAGCTGCCATGTGGGTGCTGGGACTCAAACTCAGTTCCTCTGGAAGACCAGCTAGTGGTCTTAAATGCTGAACCATCTCTCTAGCCTTCAATACAGTCTTGGAAAAAAATAAATTTCTCTTCCCCTTCCTGCCACCCCCCTTCCCTCATGCCAGGGTTTCTCTGTGTTGTCCTGAAACACTCTCTGTAGACCAGGCTGGTCACTAACTCATCAATCCACCTGCCTCTACCTCCTGAGTGCTGTGATTAAAGGTGTGTGCCACCACCACCCAACCCTCCTCCTCTTCTTTTGAGACAGGTTTTGTGTAGCCAGGCTAGCTTAAATTTACTGTTATGCAGCAGCAGAGGCTGGCCTTGACTTCCTGATCCTTGCGCTTCCACCTTCCAAGGAGAAAACTTCTTTGTGTCAGCCTAGTGAGCAACATAGTTTCTTAAAAATAACTTTTGTGAAAGTGATTTACAAAGTAAATTGCCAAGTGCCCTAAGGAAATGTGAGAAGGGCTATCATAGTGATCTACCTTCCAAAACCCAACCAGGGCTCCTCCTTCCTGAGCCCTGAGGGTGCTCAGGTTCCAGGCTCAATCTCTGCAAAGTCCGTTTTGCCCTTATCTTAAGTTCCTTGTACTATACCTTTGTTTGTTTGCGCACTTGCAAGGCACAACCTCCCCTCCCAGGATACAATGTGAGTTCTTTAAGGATACGGTCATATATCATTTGTGTTTTTATTTTACCTTCTCTTGAACAGAGCTCGGCTTGTACCACGAGTGCATAGTATTAAGGTCCAAAAGCGTATGGTCCAATTTTACTGGCTAGACAAAGCAACTGCAGATCCCCTTAGTTTCATCCCACTCTCCAGTCCCTGCCTCCTCCTGCCTGGTTGGTAGCAGGACCCTAAGACCCACCAGAGAACAAGAACAGCAGGGGGAGCCACGCTTGCTAGAGGGAGAGAGAGGAGCAAGGCCATCATCATCCCCCCCTCCACGTGCTGCTGTAGGAGTGAGCAGGTAGGCACTGTGCTGGGTGGTGTAAAGCTGTCTCATACAGAACCTGATCAACAAAGCCTCTCTCTGTAGCTGGCTTTTTTGGACAGCCAGTCCCCAAATCATGACATGGAGACTTATTATTAATTATGAATGCTTGGCTTAGTTTAGGCTTGTTTCTAGCTAGCTTTTATAAAACTTAAATTAACCCACTTCTATTAATCTACATACTGGGGCTCATTCACCTCATCTACGTACTGTCCGTTTTGCTTTCCTGTTTCTTCCATGTGTGGCTGGCTGGGCGCCCAGCTGGCTGGTCCCTTTTCTATCTGCTCGCCAGCCTTGCCTATCCCTCCTCTGCCTAGCTATTAAGCACTCCGTTTTTTATTAGCTCAATCAGGTGCCTTAGGCAGACAAGGTAAAACAGAACATATCTTTTCATAGTTAAACAAATGCAGCATAAACAAAAGCAACACATCTTTACATAGTTAAGCTAATATTCCACAACACAGCTCCACTGAAGAGAGCACAGCACAAACATCGACAACCTCTGGGCCTGCCTCTCCACCCCAGAGGCCCTGCTTTGCACCTCAAGTCCTATCGGGCAGTTCCCACTGAAGGTGGTATGGTAGAGCAAGATGCCTTTGGTTTCTCCATCGTCCACCCTTACCTTGGGGTCTTCTCTTCCTACAGCTCCTTCCCACCTCAACATCCAGTCCCTTTTCCAGTCCCTAGCAGGTCTGCATTTGCCACTTAACATTCAAAATTCTCCACCATGCCTTTGCCCACCTGTCCCATCTATAGCACACCCAAGACTGACTAGGTTATTCCTCTTGTTCCTCAAGGAAAGGAGATCCATTTCAGCTCAGTGCTGCTCCTCACATTTTGCACCACTGAACAGATGGCTCCACTCTCATTAGATCCGTCTACGTTTTTTTCCCTTTTGCTTTGCTGTTTATTGCTTACCAGACCACATCCTGTTCCTCTCATTGAATTCCATTCTAACCTCACATCTTCCAAGAAGTCTATTGGGCTTACATTGACTGATGTTGGAGTCAGTCATCACAAAGGTCACTTCCCATGTTACAACACCCTTTGCTGTTCGAAAATCCTTGAGCACAGAGCAATGGGAGCAGTTACTATTGGCCCCATATGCTTGTAATCCAAAATTGTGTATCAGTGACTTGCCCAACATCACCCAGGTAATAAGGTGCTGAACCCTAGCTCAAGTTCAGATCCATCAGCTCTGGAGTGGCAGGATGCTACCGCAACATCCTCCATCCCTCAGAACCATCACTCTTACAACTACACTCTTGTTTGTGTTGAAGGAGTTGGGTTTTTGGTTTCTGTATCTTCATGTTCTTGTTGGCTATATTGCCAAGTGTTTATTATGTCTGCTTCAGGTGATTATGTGCCCACGGAGGGAGGGACAGAATGGCCTTTTCTGACAATGTCTCCCAATCTTAGAGTTCTGACAACTACGGGATCTGAGCCTGGGGATAAAGAGCAGCATGAGATGGATGCTTGTCGGCTCCACGGAGGAGCAGTGTGGGCAGAACAATGATGAGAATAAGAGCAGTCCCCATTGCTGAGTACCTGTGGAGGGTGAGGCATTATGCTAGTTCTTTATTTACATTATTTAACCCTTACAACAAATTTCTAAGGGAAGTATTATTATTATTGGCAAATGAGAAAACAAATGCTCAACGATGTGGGGCCAAGGTGCAACCCACATTTGTCTGACCCCCAAAGGGGCATATAAATAGCAGACTTCGATCTGTACATTTAAAAATATGATAATCCCTCACTCCCTGAAGACCAATCCTACCTTTGGCTCTCCTTTTCCCAGCCAAAAAAAGCCAGGGAGAGGAAAGCAGGACAGGTTGTACCTCATACAAAAACACACACGTGTACACACACACACACACACACACACACACACACACCACTTATATTTGTTACCACCACCCTGGATTTCATAGCTAGGGTGGGGGCTATAAGGGGTGAGTTTCCCCAAGACCCTAGTCCCCTTCCCTGGTGCTAAATAAAAGTGAATAAATACTAAATAAATACAACTGGGATCCAAGCCTTCCCCTCTCCCTCCTGTGACCTGCAGGGCAGAGGGGGCAGTTTAGATAGGGGACATCTCCTAACCCCTTTCCATTCACCTACACATCGCTGCCTCCCAGGGCAGGAAGCCAGGGCAGGGCCAGCCTGCAGTTTAGGGCAGAGAGGCAGGGTAGGTTTCGCCCTTTACAGCACTTCCCTGCTGTGTTTTAGCATGAGGCAGCTGCAGAACCCCCTCCCCTCATTCTCCCAGATGAGTCCGAGGCCCCGGCACCCCAAAAGGGCAGCCGGGAGAGTGAGGTTATTTCCTGCCGGCCCAGGGACGCTTCCGAATGATCTCCAGAATCTGTGCCCGGCGGTGCAGCCAGTCTTGGGGAGGAGGGCGTGGTGTTGAAGGAACTGGCCGCGGAACGAAGAAGCTGTACCGCAGACGTGCGTTCTGTGGGTTGCCAGCCACCAGGACTTGCAGCGTCAAGGGTTGGGCCAGAGGCCCATGTCCAGACAGTGTCTCTGAGGCTGCCGTGGCTCCGCTATAGCGCAGACTGACTGCCCCAGGAAGTATCACATCCGTGGGGGAGGGCATCAGCGTGTATTCACCATTGAGGGCGTAGGAACCATCTGGAAGCTTCAGGGCCAGGTAGATGCTCCTGGGGCCAGAACCCCCTTGCTGCCGTACAAGAATATGGGTGGCTCCGGCGGGGATAGTGACCACATCACTGTATCCGTACCTGTGAGGAAAAAGTAAGTGAAGACCTCGGCATCTCTCTAATCCAGCTTGCCCTACTGTGTTTGTCTGAGTGAGTGTGTGTGTGTGTGTGTGTGTGTGTGTGTGTGTGTGTGTTTGCCTCTTCAGGCTTACACAAGACACGTATCCACCTGAGAACAGAGCTACCAGCAAGTGTGCCTTCCTCGCTGGACACTTCCTGTTGCTGCTTTTTAATCCATTGTCTTTCCAGTCCCGGCCTCCTTGGGGCCTGTCCAGTTCCTACTCTTAGTTCTGAGGTCACCACCCCAGGAGACCTTCCCTGGTGCCCTCAAAGGCTCTTACGGCATCCTGTGTCCTCTCTGTTCACCGTGTGGAACCTAGCATTGTAATGCCTGCTAGTCTGTCTCCCGTCGTAGCATTTAGCCCCAAGCCCAGCATAGCAACCAGGAAAACAGAAATGGTGAAAAGACCTGAATTTTCTGAAGGAGCCCGACTGCTTGCTGCAGCTAGAACCATTCCCGCCGCAGACCATGCACTTGTCAAACTTCTTTTTGGAGCCAATAATCCGGTCACAGCCAGCATGGATGCAGCGCCCCTGGACACAGACTGAGGAGCTGTCTGGGGAACACGGAGTTCCGTCTGCCACCTGAGGAGTAGAGGAGGGACATGGCTAAGGGTTCTTGCTAAGTCGGGAGGGGTTTGTAAGCTAAACATCTGGAAAGTGGTGTCAGGAAAAAAAATGGGTAAGGAAAGGGATGTAGTGGGGCTTTACCTATATGGAATTTTTTTGTTTGTTTGTTTTTTGTCTTTGTTTGTTTTTGTTGTTGTTGTTTTTTTTTCCGAGTCAAGATTTCTCGGTAGCTTTGGAGCCTGTCCTGGAACTAGCTCTTGTAGACCAGGCTGGCCTCCAACTCACAGAGATCCACCTGCCTCTGCCTCCCGAGTGTTGGGATTAAAGGCATGCGTCATCACCACCCAGCCTCTAAGGGATTATAATGATAATAGTGTTGTGATCATTTTCCCAGCATTACCTATGAAACAGGTAATGTGAAAAATGCTTTGTAAACACAAATCTAGGTCCCACAATTACTGCATGAGATTTCTAAGGGTGAAATTATGAGGTTTAGAAAGATCACAAACTGAGAAGGCAAGGGTTTTTAGTCCCAGCAACAAAAACTTAATGGTATGGCCTCCGGATCGACACTAGAGGGCAGCAAACCTGTAGGAATTTTCCATAGACTACTGGGGAAGGGAGGGGGTCCAAGGCTGGTAGGCAGGGCATGCTTTGCCTGAACCAGCCACTCTGTAATACAAAGGGAGTGTCCAGATGTCAGTAATTTCTGGGAGGTCTGTCCATTGAGGACTGGCTGTCCAAGGGTAAATACTTTGACAGAATGCTTCATGGAAAGGAGAGCTGAGGACCTCCCCAAAAGGCCACACGCTTCCATTCTCACCAAATGGGGTACGAAAGGATGGACAAAGAGGGAAGGAAACAGAGGCACGACAAGTTAGAGCAGCTTCCCTGGCCACGTATCCAGAGTTAGGCATTTGTTTTCCTAATACTGGGCGTGGACAGACAAGCTAGTGAATCTGTAGGCAGGCCGACATGGCGTGATGCACTCCAGCAACGGTCTGAAGGGACTTCCCCCCGCCCCCACAGAGGGATCACTGGGAAGTGTGTAAGCCCTGACTGGGCCTAAGGGTTTCTGGTCCTCACCCGTGGCTCCAGTACATAGTAGTAACCCAGTGCCCGAGCCTGGCAGGTGAGTTTGCACTGGTCTCGCGGGGCTACACCTGTGTAGCGTGGGACCCAGTCCATGGGCCCTGGGAAGCTCTTGAAGAGGTCCGTCCTGTGGTTGTAGGCAGCACACTGCTCCTCACGGAAGGTCAGTGCTATGGGGATAAAATGGGTAGACTGAGCCTCTCTCTCCTCCCACTAGCCCACACAGCCTTCCACCAAGCCTCTCAGAACTTGAGCTGGCATGACATCTCTCTCCCTCACAGACTGCCAGGGACAGTTATAGAAAGATAAAGAAACACTCCCCCACCCCCCCCCCCCCCCCCCCCCCCCCCCCCCGCCGGCAGCAGAGTCAATGAGCACCTTAGTTCAGCAGCCTAGGGACAGCACCTCTCCTCTAGCATCCCTTCCCAGGGCTCTCAGCCTTCCCAGCCCTCACCTGAGCCGGTTGGGCAGTTCTCAGTGTTGCAGGAGCGGAAACGGGTACGGCGACCCTCGCAGTACTTGCCACCATTCCGGGGGACGGGCCTTGTGCAGTCCCGGGAGGAGAACTGGACACCACCCCCACAGCTTCTAGAGCAGTCACCCCATGGTCCCCAGGGACCCCAGCCCCCAGCCTGTGGAATCTGCAGAGGCACAGAACGGAAGTGGGATCAGCACACTCTCCTAGGTTTAGAACCGGTCTCCTCCCCGCAGGCTTTTCACCCGAGCCGAGCCCTGGGCTCTCACATCGAAGTCCTTGAGCTGGTCCACGTGAAGACAGCGGCCGCCCATGCAGGCCTGTGCGGATCCGCAGGGAGTACCGTCAGCCCAGGGTGAATGCTTAGTCTGGCACATAGCATGGCCATTGAGGTGGCCTGAGCACCAGAGGGCAGCACAGGGTGGTGGCAGCTGTGGACAATGGTGTGAGTCAGGCCCAAAGGTCAGTTGGCACTGGCGGTCGGCATCGTAGTCCTTGCCAGGAAAAGTCACTGGTAGATGCAGGGGAGCCTCTGGTTTGTCTAAGAGACAGTGCCCTGAAAGGGGGTTAAGGTACAAAGTTAGCAAGAGCCTGAGGTGGGCACTAAGGATTGCCAAGTGAAAGCCTGGGCTCCCTGGTGGCTAAGGTACCCTCGGCCTCTGAGTGCTGGGATTAATGGTTTGTGCCACCATGCCCATCTATAGAATTCTTGAGAATGCCTCTAGTCAGTAACTTTGGGGAGCTGGAGAGTTGGCTCCACAGTTAAGGGCACTTGGAGAGGTCTAGAGTTCAGTTCCCAGCACCTGGATCAAGTAACTCACAAACTGCCTCCAGTTCCAGGGGATCCAACACCCTTTTTCTGGCCTCCATGGGCACCTGCAAGCATGTATGCATACACATATACGCACATAAATAAAAATAAAATAAACTTTGGAGAAAGTCATTCTGTGATCTTGTACACTTTATCGAATGACAAGGTAATTACATGATTTATAGCCAATCCATTTCAACACCGGACAGTGCTAGTCCTTAAAAGATCAATTCTTTTTTTTAAAATATTTATTTATTTATTATGTATACAATATTCTGTCTGTGTGTATGTCTGCAGGCCAGAAGAGGACACCAGACCTCATTACAGATAGTTGTGAGCCACCATGTGGTTGCTGGGAATTGAACTCAGGACCTTTGGAAGAGCAGGCAATGCTCTTAACCACTGAGCCATCTCTCCAGCCCCCCCCTTTTTTCTTGATAGGGTTATTTTGTATAGCTCTGGCTTTCCTAGAATTCACTCTGTAGACCAGGCTGGCCTCTAAGTCAGAGACCCTCCTGCCTCTGCCTCTCAAGGGCTAGGATTAAAGGTGTGTCACCACTGCCCAGATTAAAACGTCAATTCTAATTGTATGGAGCCAATATGTGCCTCTCTTACCTGTGCTATTTGTTTTCATAGGAAGTGGGAACCATACCAAGACAGTAGCATTTCTCACCCCATCACGTACAGCAGAGGCAGCACACATGGAGGAGTCAGTAGGGCCCATAGAGAATGTTCCAGAAAGAAGAGTCTAGTGGGAGAGGGCAGGAATCGAGTCTTATACTGAGAAAGATGTCGCCTGCTTACCGTAGCCATTGTCCAGGAAATCAGTGATGAAGCGGGCACTGCATGGGGACCAAGGCTCTTCCGGATCCACGTGAGCCATAACTGGAGCCATGACGTGGCGAGTGGAGCCCCCCTGCCCATTCAGATTAACACATGGCTTGGAGTTATCATGGAGCATGTTGAAGACATGGCCTGTAAGAGAAAAGATCCCGCTAGCATCCAAGGGTTCCATCCTGTGTCCTCGGGGGGCGGGGGAGTCCATCATAAGCTTGGTTGCAGCTGCTGCTGATCAGATCCACCTCCCCTCCCCCAACTCAGATCTCCTTATAGTTCTCTGAAGGTTCCATGTGTAGCCCCTATTGCTCTGTCTTCTCTTCCCCAGAGGAAAGGCCTCTTCTGCTTGTCGTCCACTGTAGCTAACACTCCCAATCCTCAGTCCCCATTCCCTTACTCTTTCTCCTTCTGAACATGTAAGTCAGGTACATATATACAATATATACAGTTCAAAGAAGTTCCCACCTGCCTGCTACTTTTTTTAATGGAAAAATCTATGTTTGTCTGCACCCAGAACAGAGAAGGAGATAGAACTTGGACCTAGGCCTGGGGAGGAGGAGGAGAATACCCTGGTACCCCCATTTGCACTCTAGTGAGCGCCTTAGCTCCTTATAGCATCCTCAGTACCCTTCAGGTCCACTTCAGGGGCCACACTGCCCCAGTGCTACCTTACCCAGTTCGTGAGCAGCAGTGAAGGCCGACTGAAGTCCGTCGTCCTCCACAATAGCACAGCTCCGAGCTGGATCACACACTGTGCCCACATCAGCCATACCCAGAGTGTCACAAGTAGAGACGCCACACAGGTCCTGTGGAGAAGGAGCACAGAAGACGCTTGGGGCTGATACCCAGATTAGTGAGGACCCAGCATGGTCAGGGCCCGGATGGCCACCCCACAGCAGGATGGCTGGGGCCAGGGACATGTTGCATGACTTTAGGGACACCCTTTCCACCAGGTTTGTGTAGGGGCAGTGTCTCTTTGTGTTGTGGTTCTTTGCGTGTGGTACTGACCGGGAGCCTTACCTGACGGGTAAACAGAATGGCTGTGTCAAAGTGGTCAGGATCTGAGTCCTCAGGGGTGTTGAGGCCCCGCTGCCAGGCACAGAAGCTCCGTAGGGTCTGGGCTGCACTCGGCTCCACTTGGGGCCCCTCCTGGCCTGACCCCAGGATCACTAGCCGAGTCACCACCAAGCTGACAGGGTTTCGGATGCTTGGGTGCTTAAAGGCCTTGGCTGCTGCAGCCATAACTGTCAGCAGGTAGCGCTTTAACCCTGTACCATGGAATGCTGCCATCTTGTCATCGGCCACCACCAGTGTCTCCACGAATCTACTCAGAGAAGCAAAGCGCTGAAGAGAGAGGAAAAAGAAGAAGAAAAAAAAAAATGAGAGGAGGGTCCTGAAACAGCCGCCCAGGCCCATGGATCCCTTCTCCTCTCCCTCTCTTCTTGGGTCTAGAACTCAGCAGAGTCAGCTGGCCCTCACATGCCTCACAGGATTCCTGAAGTGACTGGTTTGGACCCTCCCCCTAACCCCAAAGCGCAGTGCTTTTGTGGTAATGTTGAAGAATCAGCTGTTGTTCTGAAAGAGGAGAAGGCTTTGCCACGTTTCAGGACTGAGTGGGCCCCAGAGGTGAAAAGCAGCTGGGACTGCTTTGGGGAGGGGCACTGGGGTCCCCGAGTGTGGCAGGGGTTGTCTGAGCAGAGCTAGAGGGCTGGGCTGTGACAACGACCGACCGACGTGTCTGCCCTGTGTGGTTGGAGGAACAATTCAGTCAGCAGCTAGGGCCATGGCCAGATCTCAGCGTGGCGGGTGTGGAAGGAGCGTCTGGTCTGGATTAAAGCTAGAGAAGGGGTGGGAGAGAAAAAAAGGGGGAGACCCAGGAGTGGGAGGGAGGAAAGGATGGCGCCTCCAGCAGCCTAGCAGCCAGCCCACAGTGTGGGAAGAGGATTGACCCAGAGGTATGGATGCTTCCCCTCGGCTGTCCTACTTCGCCATTTGCCAGAACAATTTTAAAGGCAACATCAGAAGCCAAAAAACCCAACCCCATCAGGCTTCAAACTTCACTTCTCTAGCTGGGGGTGGGGGTAAAAATCACTGGGGCAGAGAAAAGAGCCTAGGCCAACAGGCTGTTAGGAGAGCTTTACTGCTGGGAACTGTGTCAGCAGGAGACTCCATGGCCAGGAAGGGGCGGGGTAGAGGGGGAGAGGTCATTACAGCCCAGAGAATCTGGCTTACCTCGGGGAATCCTCAGAGCAAAGCAAATGGCTAAGGCAGGGAGAAGCCAACACTTTTCAAAGAAAGGGTAGTGGAGATAGGAAAGGCAGAGAGGAGAAAGGCTGAAAAGCTAGAAGTGGAAGTGGGAGGAGAGAGGGTGAATAGGGGTCAGTAGGACAGACTTGGCGGGAGGATAGTACAGGACAAAAACTCCAGGGTTGCCTACCTTGGTTCTTCGGGGAATGGGATTAGGGCTCCCAGAAGGAGCCTTGACGTTGCACATGGGACCTTGGCTGCTGTCAGGACTCTTCCGGCGTAGGATGTGAGCCCCTGGTCCCCCAGCAGAGTTAAGGGAGCCTCCCTCCAGAGGCTGGAGGTGGAGTTCAGCCCCTCGGTACTGCAACACCCCTAGTAGGGCTCCCCCGTCCCAGTGCAGAGATGCCACCGACTCCGGATCTCCATTGATGGTGCCAGTCAGGTAGGTACCTGGCTCTGCCCCACCCAGCATCTCAGGTGCCTGGCCCAGGTACTGCACTGTCAGCCCCTCTACCTGGACCCCAGGGTCCTGCTCTAATTCTAGTAGTAGTACCTCCCCAAAGGCTGGCAAGCGGTACAGCAGCCTGGCAGGGGTACCTGAGCCGGGCAAGATGCTGCCATTGAGCTTCTCTGGAAACACGATTTCTTCCTCCCGAGGGAGGGGGCTGGCTGCCCAGGCTAAAGGCAAGAGGGAGGCCAGCAGCAGCACCAGCGGCCGCCTCCACTCCAGACCAGAGAAACGCACAGTATGAAGCTGCAAGCGGAGTTGGGCTCTTCGCAGCCAGTGCCCAGTCAAGCCCCTCCCGGGATGCAAGCCCATCTGGGACATGGTACCCGTGCTGCAGCTGGGATGGATTGAGGCCATTGGAGGCATCAAATCCTCCCCACCCTAACTGTGGAAAACTCCTCGTTAAAGCCGGAGGGGCTCGGATTTGTGCCAAAATCTGAGGCGAAGTTTTTAGAGGGGCTAGGGACGTTCAGAGAAGAAGAAGAAAACAGTCCCTGGGCTCAGGAAAAGCGCCTGGGGACCTCTCTCCTCCAAAACTTCCTCCTGTGCCCTTCTCTCCTGGGTCTTTGTCTCTCCCTGTCTGTGTCTTCTTCAGCTTCTCTGACTTCTCCCCCTTCCCAGTTGTGTCTTTCCCTCAGTGCCTGCACTGTCTCTGCCTCCCTTTGCTGTCTCTTTGTCTCTGTCTCTCTTCTCATCAGTCTCTTTCCTTTCCGTGTATCAGTGGGTCTCCCCCCGGGTTCTCCCCAGCCTCTCTCCCCGCCAGCTCTTTTAAGCATCCCGAGCCTCCCTCTGTGTGTGATTGGCTGATCTGTAAGCCACTCAGCCAGAAGCTCAGTCAGTGGGACTCAGACGCATGTATCATCGCTTCCCAAAGACCTTAGTTGTTTCTTTTCTTTTCCTTTTTTTTTTCTTTCCCTTAAAAAGAAAGAAAGAAAAAAAAAAAAAAGAGGGACTTGCCCAGGGGAAGGGAATCTCTAGCAACCAGATGCATTATGGGCACTGAGCCAGCGGATGACACATCCTTTTCCCAAATCCCACCAGCAGCCCTCAGCTGTCTCTTTCCCTTTTTGGTGGGACAGAACCCCAAGGGAAGCAGGGACTCGGGGAAAGGGCCTGGCGAACACACACAGATGAGATTCTGTCCTGGGAGAATTCATGCCCCTACTGTCCAGCCTGGAATAGCCTAGACACCCTCACATGTCATTTTTGCTGCCCTCTACCCCAGAGGTTGATTTCAAGCTGTCTGGGTTTAAAAGGAAGTGGCGAACAGGTAAAGAAGTATTAAGAGAGAAAAGAGGACGGGACCAAGTGGACGAGGCAGTAGAGACAGGAAAGCAGGAGACAGCAGTCAGAACCTTTCCGTTGGGATGAAAATAAACAGATGACAAAGGAGGAGTCAAGTCAACTACTTTTCTTTTTATAGGAGGAAGATCCAGAGTATATCTTTTCTGCTCCCTCTCTCCCTGCTCTGCTATGCCTTCCTGAGTTACCCCTACCCTATCCAAAGCATGGAACAGCCATTCCACCCTAGGCCTCCTCCCCGACTTCCTGACTGCCCATTCCCCTGGCTCAGCTCCCAGTAGCTTCCCCCAGGCTCTTGGCCCTGTTCCTACCCACTCCCAACTACCCCAAACCCTCCCCCTTCCTCAAGTCAGTCAGCCTCTCACCTAGACAAGACCTGCTCTCTTGGGAACCCAGAATTACTCAAAGGCAATCCCTGCTCCCTCCCACCCCCACATTTTGAATCCAATAGTTCCTGGAATATCTAGTAATCTTTGACTCTTCATTCTCCATGGGACAGAGGGAGAGACTGCAAATAGCATTTGAGGGTACTAAGAGAAACAAGAGCCTAGAACCTGGGATGGGATTAATGATTGGTGGGTACATGTGTGGGGTGTTAGAGAAGGGAGCTGAGTTCTCTGATTCAGAATTGGAGGGGACTAAGGAAATAAATAGCTGACTCTGAGGGCAAGGAAGCAAGAGTTCAGCAGTGGGGCAATTTCTGTCCACTCCACCCGGTGTCCACTTGTTTCCCCAGGAAATCCCCAGGAAGGAGAGTACACTCAGCAGTCCCTTCCCTTTCCCAGAGAAGCACCACCTCTCCTACCCCATCCCCTTTATTCATTCTCTGCCTTGTCACCTCCTGTCCCCGACATCGTATTCATCAGAACGCTTCCTCTCCCCCCTCCCTTCCTGCTCCAGTCACTAATACCTGCCCTGGTACCTATCACTTCCTGAATTACCCGCCCTATGGTGACTTCTAGTCTCTCCTCTTGACCTCATCTCATGCCCTGGCCCTCCCTGGCCCTGAGCAGAGGGGTTGAGGCTGGAGGAGTCACACAAGGGATGAGGGACCAGAAGGGACAGGGGCAAGAGGAGCTGTCACCAGGGTGCTCTTATTGCTTCTTTCCATCCCCCCATCGGGAGATGAGAACAAAGAGGGTGAGTGAGCAGGGCAAGACAAAAGGCCATAGAGTGGCAGCCACAGCATGTGGGGGGTGTTGGCAGAAGGGAGAAGGCACAAAAGACGCAGTGTCCTAAGCAGCCCCCCAAGAGTCCTCCTCCCAGTTCCAGCTTAGACTACCCCCAGGGCTAAGCAAACTAGAGTCTGTCTTCTCATAGGCTGCATTAACACAAAAATGAGTAACCCCTCCTCTCATCATTATTGCATTTAGTGTTTAAATTATATTGCAGGGAAGAAGGCCTAGAAAAGGGAGGGGCATGTAGAGGGTAGAGGGACCAAGCCTCTGCCCTGGCTTTCTGGGGGTTGCCTAGTCTACATCAGGTCTTGGTCAGTTCCCACAGCCCAGGGATCTCTGGCCCCACCCTTTGGTATGGTTCCCATTAGGTCAATTTTCAGCCTAGAAATCTGGCTTTCTCCTCTTCCTCTGCAGCTAAGAATTCTCAGGGCCGCTCCCCTCCCTGGTCGGTCTGCTCCACCCAGCTGCACTGCTGGTGGGCTATATCCCAGAGACCCTGTCTGGGGGAGGCCTCTTTCCAATGAGAAAATTGTAGAAGAGAAAATTGTAGAACCTCAGAGAGTGGGTGGCCCAGCTGGAGCTGGGTTTGGAGACCAAAAAAAAAAAAAAAAGAGAGAGAGAGAGAGAGAGAGAGAGAGAGAGAAATCAGCCTCCAGGGCACGAAAACTCTTTGTCCATACAGAATTAGGCCCAGAGTCCTGTTATTATTACATTTCTATGTTATTAGATCCTTCTGAAGAGGACTGTGGCAGGGTGAGACTGTCCTGAATGGAGGTGGGGTACCAAGTATCACTAAGAACGCTTCCTGAATCTGTGATTCCGTAGGGATATAAGGGTTCCTGACAGGGGATCTCCATTTGTAAAAAGGTGGCTCCACACCCTTGCACGACACTACCAATGCTGGTGGTCTTGGCCTTCGATTCCTTTTTGTTTTGGCTAGCTCTCAGACCCAACTGCACTTTTCCACAATCCCTTTCCATAATCCCGATTTCGGACATCTGGGAATTAACTCTTGGATTCCGTAAAGAAAGGACAGTTCTCAAAACCTGAGCCTTCAGAAAAATCGGAAAGCCGTAAGGACTACCGCAGGAGGATGACGAAGATGGAAAGGAATAGTGAAGGAACACCCATGCAGAGTGGGCGGCGGAGTCCTAGAGGGAGCGCAGTTTGTAAGGTAAATTCGAGTGCAGGGAGTGGACTCAGCGCGAAGTGTGGGATTCACCGCGGAGTTGCCTCAGGAGAGAGCAGTTAATTTCTCTTAAGCCTAGAAAAGCCGCGGGAGGAACGCCCTTACTAAAGATGACTGCAGACGTAGTTATTTAAGCGCAAGTGAGCCGGAGAAGCGAAATCCGGATGTCGTCGCGTTCGCAATTGACCGCCCTGCCAGCTTCCAAGATGGTGGCCCCATTGTGCCAATAGAAGAGAAGCCCACAAGGAGGCGCACGGGATTCACTTCCGCCCGGTTCTCCTTCTTACGATCTGCAGCCCGGGAAAGATGGCGGCACTGAGGGCTGTGTGCTGCCTCCGCGGCGTCGGGGCTCAGGTGCTGCGGCCCGGGTCTGGGGTCCGACTGCCGAGTCAGCCCAGCAGGTGAGGAGGAAGCCGTTCCCTGGTGCGTTCTCTTCAAAACTAGGATTTCTCGAGTCTGAGGACATCTCAAGGGCCCTGTGACCCCTGAGGAAAGAATGACCCAGGCCTCTGACCCTCCTTTCGCAGGCCAGGTTTCTCAGGTCCCTAGATACAGTGTGCCTCCTGTAACGGAGGATGGGGCAAGGGGGGGGGAGTGAGTTTGTTTTACCAGAGGCGAAATAGGTGGGGTGGAAGACTCTGCCTTACAAATTAATGATTTGAGCGTACCTCCTTTCGTATCGGAAGGCAGACCCCTCCTCTCTGAGCCCTCTTTTCCTAGTTCCTCTCTTTCGCTCGCATATGCCAGTTTGCTTTTTCTTTCTCTCCGTCCTCCTTCCCTCCCCCCTCTCTCTTAGTAATCTTAGGTTTACCATGAACAAATGCTGTTCTCAGCGTTCGTATTCATGCAAGAGCTTGGGCCCCAGCTTTGTGTGTTCAAAACTGCACTATGGCATTGAAGAATACAGCCCTGCAATACAGGCCTTCCTTCTTTGGACCCATCCACATAAGAGTGAATAGGGTAGTTAGGAACATATATGCATATACGAATATATGTACGTATGCAATAGCACTTAGTGAAAAAAGGCCATGTATTTGAAGGAGAGTGTGGAGGGGCATATGGGAGGGTTTGGGGGGGGGAAGGGAGAAATGTAACTAAATTAAAATTTAAAAACATTTTTGAAAAACAGTGAATGGGGACAGAGGAACCAAGCACACTGTTCGTGCTGTTTGCATAGGATCTATCTTTAATTCCTCAGAGGTGCTCGGCAATGGCAGCCAGATATAGAATGGGCACAGCAGTTTGCGGGAGCTGTCATGTACCCCTCCAAGGAAACAGCCCACTGGAAGCCTCCTCCTTGGAATGGTGAGTGCTCAGAGCTGCCGTCTCAAGTCATCAAAATCTCTGCTGATTTTTTTAAAAGTGCTATTGAGTTCCTTCTGGATCAGGCAAAAAGTGATAATAAGGATTTATTAGTTAGAGATAGAAAGGAATGACAGTCGTCCTCAATTAACACTAAGAGGTCCATGCCATTATTTAATTAATGTCAGCTTTTTTCCAGATTCAATACACTTCTATCTCTTTGTGGACAACGTGGGTTTCCTAAAAGCATTTGAATGAAACCTATTTAAATAGAATCATCTCCCCCCCCCATCAAAACTAGGTGTTTTGGGACTAGAGAATTGGCTGAGTTAAGAGCACTTAATGCTCTTGCGGAGGACCCAGGTTCAGTTCCCGGCATCCATATCAGGTGCCTTATAACCACCTATAACTCCAGTTCCAAGGGATCCACTGGCCTCTTCAGGCAACTGCATATAGTGGTGAATATTCATACATACAGGCAAACCACTCATACACATAAAATTAAAAAAAAAATAGCCAGGCAATGGTGACAAACGCCTTTAATCCCAGCACTCAGGAGGCAGAGATAGGCAGATCTCTGTGAGTTCAAGGCCAGCCTGGTCTAGTTTTAGGACAGGCTGCAAAGCCACAGAGAAACCCTGTCTTGAAAAACAAAACAAAAGTCTTTAAAATAGGAAAAGATCCAAAGATCTGCCAATAAAACAATAATGAAACAAAACCCAACCAATTAAGCTCTTTCGGTTTTCGTATTTTGAAAATATACAGGGTCTTGTG